TAAAATCTTAATTGCAGATGCTTTTTACATATGTATGATTTTTGAGAAAGCTTCTCAAATAGGAGAGGCAGAACAAGAACAGGAAGAGCATCAGGTATTTAGACATTACTAGTTATGTAATCAATCTGTAGGATTGAGAGTTGTCAAACTGTGTCCCAAGATGATGTGATGAGCTACAAAAATACTGAAGATTGGCCGGGCGCGGTGGCTCACGCCTGTAATCCCAGCACTTTGGGAGGCCGAGGCGGGTGGATCACAAGGTCAAGAGATCCAGACCATCCTGGTCAACAAGGGGAAACCCCGTCTCTACTAAAAATACAAAAATTAGCTGGGCATGGTGGTGCACACCTGTAGTCCCAGCTACTCGGGAGGCTGAGGCAGGAGAATTGCTTGAACCCAGAAGGCGGAGGTTGCGGTGAGCCAAGATCGTGCCATTTCACTCCAGTCTGGGTAACAACAGTGAAACTCCGTCTCAAAAAAAAAAAAAAAATACTGAAGATTATATCGTTGGTCAAGTGTGGTTCATCCCCACTGGGAAGTTTTCTTTTCTAGTGTAAAGCATAGTTTAAATCATGAAATTTAAAAAAATTTTTTTTTTTCTTGGAGACAGTCCCACTCTATTCCCCAGGCTGGAGTACAGTGGCATGATCTTAGCTCACTGCAACCTCTGCCTTTTCAGTTCAAGTGATTCTTCTGCCTCAGCCTCCTGAGTAGCTGGGTTTACAGGCACCCGCCACCCACAGCTGGCTGATTTTTGTATTTTTAGTAGAGACGGGGTTTTGCCATGTTGGCAAGGGTGGTCTCAAACTCCTGACCTCAGGTCATCTGCCCAACTCAGCCTCCTAACGTGCTGGGATTACAGGCATAAGCCTACCCTCCCAGCTGATTTTTAAAATCTTACTGAAGACATACACTCATTCTAAGCAGCATATTGTTATATGTTGAAGCCAAGGCATTAAGCATCCAGAGGGTGGGGCAGAATTCAATGTACCTCCAGAAGGCGAAAACACTCATGACTCCATCCCTGGGATATAGTCTAAATTTTAACAGAGGAAATAGGGCACCATGATTGTAGGGAGATCTCTGAAATGAGAGATGCAGGCTTGGGATAAGACAAACAGTGGAAGCCAAGCTCAGTGGCTCAAGCCTGTGATCTCAGCTACTCAGGAGGCTGAGGCAGGAAGATTGCTTGAGCCCAAGGATTTTGAGACCAGCCTGGACAACATAGCAAGAACCCATCTCAAAAAAAAAAAAAAGACAAAAGGGAGGAATGGAAAATATAGAACTTGATAGAACCCTCCCATCTAAAGGCATTCTTTAAAAAACTATTGAAAAAACTGCAAGCCGAATAAAACCTTTCTGCAGGTTGATATTCTCAGGCTGCCATTCTGCAACATCTAGATTCAGTAGACTCCACCCCCAAATAAAATGGGGTGTGTTGGTCAAGCAATGTTGAATTTACCAAGTGTCAAAACCGCACTGGGGATAGATAAACCACTGAGAAAGACAATAAAATGGGCTTCAATCTGCCTTCGAGGTCAGCCCATGTCTGTGTCATGCTTGGAGCCAAGCAGTTTCTTTGTAGCTACACCTTGTCATCTTGTCCCGGCCCAAGAGAGGCTGTCGTTCAACTTCAGCCATAGGGATGTAAACTTGGGGAAATTTATTTTGGGGAAAAAAGCTACTAAAAGGCAAAAGGAGTAATTTGGGGAAATAAAGGAAAGTCTGTAAGGAAACAAAGGTACATTCTGGTGAAAGGGAAGAAATGAGAACTGGAGGATAGGAACTAGATTAGGCAAAATACTAGGTGCCAAATTGTTACTTACTCTGCCTGTGCATTCGGATGTAAATAACTAATAGCCATTGTAGAAAGGGGAAACTGTTCTTTGACTTTTGTGTCACTGGCTTCAGCATTTTCATGAACAGTTCTCATAAAGAGAAAGGGATCTAGCAGGCTGTTGTCATTTCAGTGATAGAATAAACACTGCAGTATTTCCAGAGATGGGTAGTGTATAACTATTTCTTCAACAGTTCACATGAACCTTTGTTTTGTTTTGTTTCATTTTTTTTTTTGAAACACAGTCTCACTCTTGCTCAGACTGGAGTGTAATTGCATGATCTTGGCTCACTGCAACCTCGACCTCCCACATTCAAGCAGTTCTTCTGCCTCAGCCCCCCAAGTAGCTGGGACTACAGACATGTACCACCACACCCAGCTAATTTTTTTATTATTAATAGAGACGGGTTTTCACTGTTGGCCAGTCTGGTCTCAAACTCCTGACCTCAGGTGATCCACCGGTCTTGGCCTCCCAAAGTACCAGAGTTACAGGCATGAGCCACCGCGCCTGGCCCACATGAACCTTTCTTAAACTTAAAAAAAAAAATTAACTTGATGTTGTAATCCAGGAAATGCTCATCCCATTATGATGTGTAGGTATTTTAACACACTTAAATCACTTTTCTGTCCCAAAAGGACCTGGTCTACCTTTCAAAGCTAATAAGTAATACTGATATTTTGATAGCATCAAAGGGTATTTTAAGCTATAGTTTTTAACCTTGTGAAATAATTGGAAAGAGTGAGAGTGCACTGAGTCTTGTTAGACCCAAAAGGTACTTATGCAGCCATTGTTAAGAGCAGAACAGATAGAACTGGACTCTGGGCAGTAGCCAGGTGGGCATGCAGGATGAGTCACTGTGTCTCCAAGGCAAGAAGCAGTAGCAGATGAACACAGGTCACAGACATCAGGACCTGTACCAGCAAGAACAGCCAGCAGTGAAGAGACCTCGGAATTACCACAGCCCTTGTTCTCAACAAGTGATTGAAGACAACCAGATCTCCTAGGGCAAGGCAGATCACCTGAGGGAGAAAAGAGTATGTGTCCCTTCTTGAAACGTGCAAGTTCAAAATGTTCCCAAGTGATGTTCAGACCAAAGAGACAGAGCACAGGCTACAGATGTGCAGCTCCTGGGCATTACGTGGGCACACTAAGTTCAATCGAGGCCATACTCTAACCTGAAAGATTTGAGTAAATCAGAAGTACAGTGTATTTAAAAAAAAAACTGAGGCACCTCTGAAAATACAACTTCAACCATGAAATGTCTAAGAACTCAAATCAATAGCTCTTCAATTAAATAGAATTTTATTACAGAATTTCACAAAGAACTTAATATCTAAGTGTAAAGAGAGAAAGCATTGAAATTCATTAGCGACTATGATACAAGATGATTTTCTTACACCTATCTCTACCACAACCCTAAATCAAAACAATTTTTTATAAAGCTTCAGCTTTCCCAGAAGAAATTCCGATACAATATGTGGTGTGCTATTAGGTGACTGGGTGTTGAAATCCTACTTCCTTTTCCTTTTCTTTCAAAGAAGGAAAATAGGGACTGTGCAGATCAAAAATCAGTGTTTCTAGGAAGTTGAACGTTTGGGACAGTCTTCTTGGATACTCAATCCCAAATACATGAAAGGCAGCTACTAGTGCAGCCAAGGCTGTAACACAGTTATCCACCTTTGTGAGCCTCTCCCTTTCTAAATATAAAGAAAATTCGCAGACCTCCATGTTGAAAGGGTTTTTAACTTCTAACACGGGTGTGGACACTTGCACCTGAAAAAAAGAATGGAGTCACTAGTATGATATGTAAAATAGCTAAATAATGAAACAGACCTGAACTTCATCATGATGTTAAAAAAATGGGCTTGTTGAAATGTAGCATATTTGTAAATATGACAACCATACTTCAAAACACACCACTAACTTTGCTTTTAAATAAATTATCACAGCCGAGCTCGGTGGCTTCATGCCTGTAAGCCCAGCACTTTGGGAAGCCAAAGCAGATGGATCACCTGAGGTCAGGAGTTTGAGACCAGCCTGGCCAACACCATGAAACCCCATCTCTACTGAAAATACAAAAAATAGCTGGGCGTGGTGGTGCATGCCTGTAACCCCAGCTACTCAGGAGGCTGAGGCATGAGAATTGCTTAAACCCAGGAGGCAGAGGTTGCCATGAGCCAAGATCATGCCGTTGCACTCCAGCCTGGGCAACAGAGTGAAACTCCATCTCAAAAAAATAAATAAATAATATAAATAAATGAATAAATAAATTACTGCATGAAGATGTAAAATGTCAAACCAGCGGCCATTCACATACTACACACCTGTTCATTCATGATGACAAAAAGGCTGGGATCATCCCCAAAAACATCTGGGAGGAGTAAACATGTGGCTGTCATCTTCATGTCTGTCAAAGCAAGTATGTTAACATTTGAAGCAAAAATAAGCTTTCAGAGATTGTAAACCAAGCTACTTGTTACCTTGGACAGAGAACAAACTAGCCTTCTTAGATCAATGTTTTGCACCTTTTTAAACCACACCCTCTTCTAATAAAACATTCAAAGTCTCATGTCTGCCCTCCAGAGCGCTGCCAGGAAAAGACAAAGAGTTCTGTACTGTCTGTCCATCAGCCAAGAAGATTTTATTATGCTGCCCCTTGTGATTCCTATTGTAACATTAACAGGTTACTAGTTCCATAAACATAATTTTATAATATACAGTATACTTTTAAAATCTATACCTCTCCTCCTCCCCTTATTTGAAAAATTTTTTATTTCCCACCAGCTGTTTCACTTATTACTGAAAATTATTAAATATATTTTAGTAGTGTCAATTTTTAATAATTTTTAAATATATTTTTAAACTCAATAAATGTAAATTACTGAATTTTACTGATGAGCAAAGCACAACTTTTCTAGCTATCCTGACAGGTAACAGACCAAATCACACCTCTCCACAAGGCTTACTAACGTTTCAACATGTCTTCATCTGTGTACTGTTTCATTTTCTCTTGTAATGCAGTATTGATTTGGTTGTCCACGACTGAGAAAGAAGTCAGTATATTTTCTGAATAGGATTCCAAAATGTGCCTTGTTTTTTTACAAATATCTGTTCTTGTAAGAAGTTGGAACTCTCTGAACATCTGACAAAAGAAGAAAGCAGTGGATACATCAGATCACAAGAAAAGCTAATATATAGAATTACAGACATAAAACCTTTAGAATTAAGCCGTGAATACTTGTTAAACTAAGTAATAGATATTTTAGAAGCTTTAGTGGAGAATTAAAGCTTTAGGATGAGGGAGGAGAAAATGAAAGCCTAAAGTGATTGTGAAAAGAAAAGTAATGGCCATGGCAGATTTTAAACCTACAGAATTAAAACTGGATGCAGTCTCAACTAAATGAGGATTCAAAGGGTATACGTGTATGTAGGCTATTTGCATACCCAGCTAAGATTCTAGGAACTTACATTTCTTTAGGTAAACTACATTGTTATGCCTTGTTCAACGAGCAGCAAAGAACAAAACTGTCAGACTGTAGGAAGCAGCCCCTGAAAAATATGTAACTGTAGTATCCTAAGTTTAGGGAAAGGAGAGTGCTTTAGAAACACTGTAAGAGTAGACAGAGGTAAACAGTGCAAAACAATATGGCCGGACATGGTGGCTTATGCTTTTAATCCCAGCGCTTTGGGAGGCCAAGGCAGAAGGATCACTTGAGCCCAGGAGTTTGAGACCAGCCTGGGCAACAGAGCAAAACCCCGTCTCTACGAAAAATACCAAAATTAGCTGGGCATGGTGATATACATGTAGAGTCCCAACTACTCAGAAGGCTGAGGCAGGAAGATTGTCTGAACCCGGGGATATCAAGGCTGCAGTGAACTGAGACTATGCCACTGCACTTGAGCCTGGACAACATAGTGAGACCCTGTCTCAAAAGAAAAGAAAGATAAACAATGTATTTGACTACAAGGTCAAAGCAAACCAATTTACTTCATGGAAGTCCCATTCCTCACACTACGCCTTCCTACCACTGCCTGAATTCTTCCCCCTCAGAGGATTATACCACCACTCCCCAGCTGTTTTTGAAAGAGTGGCATCATCAGATTATTAGCCACCCACACTTGCCTGAATTAATTTAGTCATTGCTTTTCCTGAAACTATTAAGAACAATCACATACTACCCACTGGGCTTCACTGTTTCTTGAATGTTTTGGTAGATCATAAATTGCCCAGAGATTAGGTCTGAAAGTTAAGTTGTCAGAAAGCTGGGATGCATATTCTCGTAAAGGCAGAGTGGCTTTGTTACTAGGCAGCCCACAGTGGACCACTAACCTAGATTAATACCCTTAGAAAACAGTTTTCTCAGCAGAAAGATGTGAACTGAAGGATGAAGAAGGTGAATACTCCGCTGTTCTAGGCTCATAGGCTAAGAATTTCTTTTCTGACTTTTTGTTTTGAAATAATTTCAAGCTTACATTAAAGTTGCGCAAGTGGTAAGAACTCACAAGTGCCCTCTGCAACTTCCCCCAATTTCTGATCCATTTGAAAATGAGCTGTAGACATAATGCCCCACCATTCCTTAACACCTTATTGTGTATTTCCTAAGTACAAGATTTTCCTGACTCAAAGTCAGGAAAATTTAAATTTTTCACGTTCCATTTAAATTTTCCGGCTGTTCCAGTCGTGTTCTTAACAGGTCCAGGATCTAATCCAGGATCACAGGAGATTTAGATACCACGTCTCTCTAGCATCCAGTCTGAAAAACTTGTTAGTTTCCTTGACAGTTTCTGAAAAGTGGAAGCCAGTTACTTTGTAGAACATTTCTCCTTGGAGGTTTTATGATGTTTCCTCAGGATTTATGCATTTTTGGCAAGAATGTTTGCATTTCTCACTGCATCCAAAGCACAAAATGGTAACTGGTCCTGTATTGGAGATAATAACTTTTAATACTTGATTAAAAATGAAATTCGCCAAGTTTTTCCACTGTAAAATTAATATATGTTGTGTTTTATGAGGAGATATCTTGAGTTTATGTAAACATCTTGTTCCTTGTATAACCGATCCATCAGATTCAACATCCATGGATGATTCTGGCCTGAATCAAGTACTACTATCACAGCTGCCAAATGGACACTTTTTGAATTCCATTCTTTCTACATTTATGAGTTGGCTATTTTAAGATAGTTTCTTTCCTTTCACATACATTTACTTATTCATTTATTTCTATCACTACAGGTTAATAAATTCCCATTTTACCCAAACAGTTACAAATCTGATCCTTTCACGGATGTATCCCCTGCTGAACCTAAAATAAAAGTTGGAACAAAAAAAAAGTCTCCCTTTTCACAACCCCAGATGTGTCCTACAAATTAATCATCTTTCCTTTTTCTTTTTGAGATGAGTTTCGCTCTGTGGCCCAGGCTGGAGTACAGTGGTGCAAATTTCACTCCCTGCAGCCTCTGCCTCCCAGGTTCAAGCAATTCTCTTGCCTCAGCCTCCCAAGTAGCTGGAACTATAGGCATGCACAGCCATGCCCAGTTAATTTTTTCTATTTTTAGTAGAGATGGGGTTTCACCATGTTGGCCAAGAGGGTCTCACCATGCTAGCCAGGCTGGTCTTGAACTCCTCAAGTGATCTGCCTGCTTCGGCCTCCCAAAGTGCTGGGATCACAGGTGTGAGCCTCCGTGCCTGACTGAGAATTCTCATTATCCACACAGTGTGAAGTCTAGGCTCTGAGTCAAGGATCCCCAGGGGATCCCTGTGTAGACTTCAGCCCCAGCCCGATTTCCTCCAGTGCCTGTCCTACATAGGCCAGCTGCTTCATCATTCCTCAACTCTAGTCTCTTCCTGTGCAGCTCTGTGAGAACTCTGCATTCTACTTGCCTTCCACCATTCTATACAGCGAGCTAGAATGTAACCCATGTACTAAACTGAGGCACATTGTATGTCTTTCCCTGTTATCAAGGATCAGAGTCCTGCAATGCCCGTTACCTAAGGCCTGAGGGCAGTTGCCTTGTACATACTTTTTTCCCAGCTTTATCTGTGTTGACAGTGGGAAGACTAGACCAGTACCAGTTACTCCATTTGGGCCAAAACCAAACTCCGGTTCTTTATTTTTAAAATTTTTTGAGACTTTATTAGCTGGCGATTCTCATGTACTTCACTTAGATGAAGAGATGATGATTGAAATTATTTCTCAGGAAGGCAGAAACTATGGCATCTGATAGGATTTTCTGGAAAATGTGGGGAAGGGTGTCAGTTGGTGTTTGGTATTTTCCTTCTCTCAACTCCCTCCTACTTGTCTCGTGAAACATCCAATAGATCTCAGCAACACATTCCTACTTGATGGTATTTTAGATTATCTAATAAATTGTTACATTCTGATTTTTTTTTTAAGTTGGAGTCTTACTCTATCACCCAGGCTGGAGTGCAGTGGCGTGATCACAGCTCACTGCAACTCTGCCGCCCGGGTTCAAGCGATTATCTTGCCTCAGCCTCCCGAGTACCTGGGATTACAGGTGCCAGCCAACATGCCTGGCTAATTTTTGTATTTTTAGTAGAGATGGGGATTTCATCATCTTGTCCAGGCTGGTCGTGAACTCCTGACCTCGTGATCCACCCAACTCGGCTTCCCAAAGTGCTGAGATTACAGGTGTGAACCACCGCACCCAGCCTGAATTTTTAAATTTTCTGTTGAAAGAAAGTTTTTTGAGGAAGGAGGTTAATGAGCATGGAGGTGTTGGAGGGTCAGTGTTAACGGCTAGGACCATCCCCCACCCCCACCTAACTGCTACTGTTCTGTCACCCTGTCTCCACTAGCTCCCTAAGCACTTAGTGTTTTCACAATGGCGGAAGCAACGGGTGGTAGGGGTGGTTTGGTACAGGGACAACTGTCCTCTTACAGGATCATTTGTTAACTAGACATTTCTAAGGACACACTTGCTTCTATTTTAGGAAGCACAACAAGGGTTTTATAAATTGTAAATCCCAGCCTAATAGGGCTGAGTTAGGGAGGTACTTCCTGGAAAAACTGAAAATGGTTTGTTCTTTTGTTAATAAGGTGGGGCGCGGTGGCTCACACCTGTAATCCCAACACTTTGGGAGGCTGAAGCAGGTGGATCACCTGAGGTCAGGAGTTCAAGACCAGCCTGACCAACATGGTGAAACCCCATCTCTAATACAAATACAAAAAATTAGCTGGGTGTAGTGGTGTGCAACTGTAGTCCCAGCTACTTGGGAGGTTGAGGCAGGAGAATCACTTGAACCCAGGAGGCAGAGGCTGCAGTGAGCAAAGATTATGCCACTGCACTCCAGCCTGGGCAACAAAGTGAGACTCCATATAAATAAATAAATGGACAACTCTATTAAATAAGTACAGTCGTTACAAAACCCATAGTCCATATTTTGGATATAAACAGTGAAATGCTTGAGGAATGGTGGGGGAAGATACACCTATGCCACAGTGGGAGGCCTCAACAAGGCACAGGAGACACAGCCTCAGGTCTGAAATCTCTCTTCTCCTCACTCAAGCTATGGCAGATCTCTCTCTGCCTTATTGTCACCAATGGTTCTTTGAAAAGTTGCTTAACCCCTAAGGCTGCAACATTAGTGACCACAACAGCCTTACCTACCTCCACTAATTCATTCAGCATTCAAAAACTAGAGATTGCATTGATGCGGTACTCTGCTAAGCACTTTGGGCACTGATAATATTAAAACATGCTCCCTACATGTAAGAAGTGTATAGACCGTAAGTTTGACAGGCTTTTGCTTTAAACCCGTATTTTGCAGGTGTGTCAATTTGGCATACTCTTCTAACAGCGAGAGGCGACTGACTATTATAGTTCCTAACAACCCGAAGATTAAGGGAAAACAAGCAAAAACCACGATATGGTTGCTGAGAGGATTAGGTAAATTTATCCGTGTAAAGCACGGAGAACATGCTGTGACAGAGCAGCATTCAGATGTTTGCTACTTCTGTTAATTAAAGTCATACAGGCAAACTCTTATTTCCCTTTTGTTTGGAAGAAAAATACATAGATGTTTCATGTTTAATTTGGTAAACTGAATCCACAGAATTTCTCCATGACATATGTATGTACTTGGGTAAAATCTTTGATGATCTTTCATCATATACCACCACCAAAAATTCACTAAAATTGTGAAAGACCCTTGAATGGCCACTCTAAGTGAACTAAATGGAAGGGTATTTGATTTACCGATTAAGTTTCATATATATATATATACACACACACACACACACATACATACACATACACATTTTTTTTTCTTTGAGACAGGGTCTCACTGTGTCATCCAGGCTGGAGTGCAGTGGCCCAGTCATGGCTCACTGCAGCCTTGACTTCCCCAGGCTCAGGTGATCCTCCTGCCTTAACCTCCTTGAATAGTTGGGACTACAGGCACACACCACTAGGCTCCAGTAATTTTTGCATTTTTAGTAGAGATGGGGTTTTACCAGGTTGCCCAGGTTGGTCTTGGACTCCTGGGCTCAAGCAATCCACCCACCTCAGCCTCCCAAAGTGTTGGGATTACAGGCATGAGCCACTGTGCCCAGCCCTAAATTTCATGTATTTTTAAGAACACTTATGAAATCGTTTGGGATCATAAAGGAAACATATTTTGAGTAAGGATGCATAGTAACAGTGCCTTAATAAACTATCTTGAGTATCTAAAAGCATAAAAGAGGATAATGATTCACATTGTCAAAATACCCGCTAAGTAATGATCTGCCAGCCTCCACAATATGTCCAGTAACAGAGAGCTCTTTAGTTCTGAAGGCAGCCAGTGCCTACTATATTAATATGCTTCCTGAAATTCTTTTTTTAAAATTTTCCTTTTTCAGGGTTAGGAAAGAGGGTAGGGAGGGAGGGTCTGTTTCCTGAAATTCCTATCAAATGACTCTAGTTGCAGCCCTTTGGGCCTCCCGCCCTACTGAGATTCATGCCCACTGTCTTGCTATGCTGTCCTGTTACCACTCCAAGAGGAAAGAGGGAAAAATCCATTTGGGCACTGTAATCCCAGCACTTTGGGAGGCCAAGGCAGGCAGATCACCTAAGGTCAGGAATTCAAGACCAGCCTGGTCAAGATGGTGAAACCCCATCACTACTGAAAACACAAAAAGTAGTTGGGTGTGGTGGTGCTTGTCTGTAGTCCCAGCTATTCAGGAGGCTAAGGCAGGAGAATTGCTTCAACCTGGGAGACAGAGGTTGCAGTGAGCTGAGATCACAGGCCATTGCACGCCAGTCTGGGTGACAGAGCAAAATGTATATATATATTTCATATTTATATATATATAATAAGTGAATAAAGATACCTGATAAGGGCACTTCAAGAAAGGAAACAGTTTAAGAATATCCTTCAGAGGTGTTCGGCTGCCAATCATCTTTCTTCTTATTTCCAAAGTTTGGCTCATTCTCTTGTCAATTTCTCTCCAGTTCTTTTCTGTTTTCATGTATTCTTGCTGAAACCACTTAATATGTTCATCCAGCTCAGAATCAAAACAAACAGCTTCTTCCTGCAAAACATTTTCAAGGTATCAATGAATTCCATGTTTCAAGCAGCTGTTTGATACTCTATGAACACTTGAATTTCAGGCTGTTACTGCACGCTCTTAGCTCACGCCTAAGATGAGTATCACCACGCCTGGTTACACTTGACCTTGAACATGGCTAATAAATGGACAGTCTTTAATGATGAAAATTAGATAGTTTGTTGCTCAGCATGGAATTATAACCTATTCTCTTGAAAGATCTCAAAGAGTTACTTTAATTTCTACATTATCCTTTCATATGGAGACAGATTATCCAGAAGTTTCCCACTGAATAAAATGTTCTATGCATTTAAATTTTAGAAGATAAAATGTTAAGAAGAGATTTTCAAAAGTATTAAATTAAGGATTTGTTATTACTATTGTCTTTTTTTTGTTAGTTTGTTTGTTTTGTGGGTGGGCGGGGGTCGGGGGGTGTTTGAGACGGAGTGTTCCTCTGTTGCCCAGGCTAGAGTGCAGTGTCGTGATCTCGGCTCACTGCAACCTCCACCTCCTGGGTTCAAGTGATTCTCCTGCCTCAGCCTCTGAGTAGCTTGGATTAAAGGTGAGCATCACCACACCTGGCTAATTTTTGTATTTTAATAGAGACAGAGTTTCACCATGTTGCTCAGGCTGGTTTCAACTCCTGACCTCATGATCCGCCCATCTCAGCCTCCCAGAGTGCTCGAATTACAGGCATGAGCCACTGTGCCCGGCCTGTCTTTTTTCTTTTTAAATGCCTTTTTATAGCTGCAGTACCACATCATGTAATCCAAATTCAAAATAATAACCATGGTTATTTTGTGATGCTAAGTCATTAAACTAATCATTTTATTCCCTATACAACTGGGTAAATTAGGCAAGGTGGTGGCAGCTAAGAAACACCTCACCTATTCTTGTTGAAAATCTAAGACAATCAGCTTTGAGGAAATAAGAAAAGTATCTTTCTAGAAATACGAATTAAGAGGACAGTCAGCTGAACTGCACATAACTGAAAGTTGATCAACGGTCTAGCTGACCATAATGTGAACAGATGATACCTATAAAAGACGAAAAAGATGATAAGGAGCCTAAAATCCTCTTATATCAAGGCTTTTACAAGCACATAGGAAAGCCTCTGTAGATCTACTTTCTGTGAACACAGATTGACTAACGAGACATAAACCAAGTGAACGAACTCCTAGAAAAGTAAAATTATCAAAATTAAGAAGTTCCTATAATCTTACAAAAAGTTAATTAGAAGATGAAAGTGTCTCCACAAAGAAAATACCAAGAAAGACTTGAAGGTTTTACAGACAAAATCGACTTAACTTTTGAAACAGAGTGTCAAAATTTATGCAAAATTTCAAGAAAAAGTAAAGGAGGCCGGGCATTGTGGCTCACACCTGTTATCCCAGCACTTTGGAAGGACGAGGTGAGAGGATCACCTAAAGCCAGGAGTTCAAGACCAGCCTGGCCAACATAGCAAAACCCCACCTCTACTAAAAATACAAAAATTAATCGGGTGTTGTGGCTCATACTTGTAGTCCCAGCTACTTGGGAGGCTGAGGCATGAGAATCGCTTGAACCCAGGAGGTGGAGGTTGCAGTGAGCTGAGATTGTGCCACTCCACTCCAGCCTGGGTGACAGAATGAGACTGTTTCAAAAAAAAAGGAAAGAAAAAGAAAAAAGGAACTAACCCATTCTATGAAGCCTCTATGACATGGATCCCCAAACCTGAAAGAACAGTGTAAGAGAGGAAAAGCGCAGGTCACTCTCATTCATGAACAAAGTTGCAGATATTAGAAACAAGGAACAACTAACCTGAATTTATTATACCTCAGAAGCTCAAGGATGGTTTGATGTTGGTGAGGGAACTATAGTAAACTGAAAGGAAACATGACTGATTTACCTATTAAGTTTTACATACTATCATACTAAAATCCTCAATTTGGGGGCCACTGTTACAGAAAGATTTGGGGCAGGAAAGAGGTAGGTTTTGAGAAATGTGGCGTATTAATAGTAATAGTTCTATGATTGTTGGGCACAGCAGCTCACACCTAGTAATCCCAGTAGTTTGCAAGGCTGAGGCCGAGGTTTACTTGAGGCCAGGAGTTTGAGAGCAGCCAGGAAACATAGCAAGACTCCCTATCTCTCCAAAAATAAGAATAAACATTGGGAGGCCAAGGCAGGTGGATCACCTTCGGTCAGGATATTGAGACCAGCCTGGCTAACATGGTGAAACCCCATCTCTACTAAAAATACAAAAAAAAAAAAAAAATGCTGGGCATGGGCACATGCCTGTAATCCCAGCTGCCCGGGGAGCTGAGATAGGAGAATAGTTTGAACCCGGGAGGCGGAGGTGGTGGTGAGCCGAGATCATGCCACTGTACTCTAGCCTGGGTGACAGGGTAAGATTCCATTTCAAAAATAAAACAAAAATAAATAAATAATAAAATCCCAACCGTTCTGTAATTTTACTTGGATTATCTAAACATGTGTAAACATCATATTCTGCATTAATTAATTAAAAATAAAGACCATTCCAAATAATACAGAAAAAGTATCTTATAAAATATAATATCCCTCTGTGATTAAAGAAAAAAACTGATATCACGATAAGAGAAATTTTTAATACCTATAAAGTTATATACCAAAAACCTAGAGATAATATAACTTCTTTTTTTGAGACAAGGTCTCTGTCACCCAGGCTGAAATGCAGTGGTGTGATCATAGGTAAGTACAGCCTCGAACTCCCAGGCACAAGTGATTCTCCCACGTCAGTGTCTCATCAAAAACCACAACTTTTTTTTTTTATCAGAACTTAACTAGCTGATACTAAAACTCATTTGAAAGATTAAAAAACTCAAAAAAACCAAGGCATTCCTAAAGAATAGTAAAGCGGTGATGGGAAAGTGTCAAGACATTTTACAGCTATGTAAGTAAGGAAGTTGGTATTGACACAGGGATAGATGACTTTACTAGTGGAAGACAGCAGACTTTCTAGACATAGAGCCATGGAAACGAGAGAGATGGCATCACCAATCTGAGAAAGAGGACTATTTTCTAAGAGGTTCAAGAAAATTTTCTATCCATAAGGAAAAGAAATTCCCATACGGCTTAAGAAGTTAAATTTTAAGAGCAAAACTTAAAAAAAAAAAAGAAAAAGAAAATATAGAAATATTTCTTATCACTTCAAGGTAAGAAAGAATTTCCTAAAAGTGTTACCTGTGGAGGGCCTTGACTACAAGTCATCCAGGTTCTTAGTGTTTTGAACAAAGAATGGGAAGAAATGCATAATAAAGTCATGAAATAAGCCACAAAAGTACAGATTTATTGAAATGAAAGTACACTCCACAGAGTGGGAGCAGGCTCAAGCTAGCCACTCAAGAGGGCTGGTTACAGAATTGTTGGGTTTAAAATACCCTCCAAAGGTTTCCCATTGGTTACTTGGTTTACACTCTATGTAAATAAAGGAGAGGTCCATGACCAGTCTGATTGGTTACGGAAGGTGACCAATCAGAGGCTGAAGTGAAGTTACAAAATTACACCCTATGAAAATGTCTGGCTGGTTGTAGGAAGGGACCAGAAGCTGAAGTGAAGTAACAAAGTTATATCCCTATACAAATGAAGACTAGGTCTGCTACCAGTCTGATTGGTTGCAAGGGGGAACCAATCAGAGGTTGATATGGTTTGGCTCTATGTCCCCACCCAAATCTCATCTTGTAGCTCCCATAATTCCCATGTGTTGTGGGAGGGACCCAGTAGGAGATGAGTGAATCATGGGGGCAAGTCTTTCCCATGCTGTTCTCATGATAGTGAATGGGTCTCACAAGATCTGATGGTTTAAAAACAGGAGTTTCAGCTGGTGCGGTGGCTCACGCTTGTAATTCCAGGACTTTGGGAGGCTGAGGCAGGCAGATCATCTGAGGCTGGGAGTTTGAGACCAGCCTGACCAAAATACAAAATTAACCAGGTATGGTGGCACATGCCTGTTATCCCAGCTACTCAGGAGACTGATGCAGGAGAATAGCTTGAACCCAAGAGGTGGAGGTTGTGGTGAGCCAAGATGGCACCACTGCATTCTAGCCAGGGCAACAAGAGTAAAACTCTGTCTCAAAAAAGAAAAAGAAAAACAAACAAACAAAAACAAGAGTTTCTCTGCACAAGCTCTCTTTTTCCTGCTGCCATCCACGTAAGATGTGATTTGCTCCTCCCTGCATTCTGCCATGATTGTTAGGCCTCCCCAGCCGTTGGTAACTGTTCAGTTCAAAAAGCCTCTTTCTTTCATAAATTAGGCAGTCTCGGGTATGTCTTTATCAGCAGAGTGAAAACAGACTAATACAGAGGTAATTTGCATTTTTCATCTGCCGCACAGAGTGGGGTGGAAGGTTGCAAAGGAGTAGCCTCTAATTTTTTTGTTACTTGGGCATGGAAAGTTGGGGTTTTCCTTTTGATTCAGTTCTAAGAAGTAGGTGCAAATTGGCCTTAGGTTTCCTGCCTCCAGACCCTATTGTCCTGCCTCAAAAGCACAAATTATAAGATAAATGATTGATAAATCTAACTACATCAAAATTGCAACCTTATCTTTCCTTGTCAAAAGATACCAGAAAGAAATTTAAAGGCCAAAGCACAAACTATGAGAAGATATTTGCAACAGATATAATTAGTAAAGGGTAGAATACAGAATATGCAAAGGATTTTTATGAGTAAATTTTAAAAAGTGCAACCTCATAGAAAAATAGGCAAAAGACATGAACAGACATTTTACAGGGAGGCAACATGAGTATTTCATAAACATATGAAAACATGACACCCTCATGCATAACTGAAATCAAAACCAAACAAGGTACCATTGAATTCCCAATAGATTGGAAGTTTGGTGGTGACATTGCACAGGGGCAGGGTGAGTGGAAAAGAAATCAGATGATAACAAGTGCTGCTCAGGGAGCTTAATCATCCAGGAAAATAATTTGGCACTGTCTTATAAAGTTGAGTATCTGCATACC